ATTATGGCTTACTTTATAATAATCAATGTAGATTTCACTGCTACTGAGACTGTGGTTGTCTCACCCCTTTCTTTTCAATATTTTAGGTCCAGGCGAAGGATCCAGTGGTGAACGGGGAAAGGAGCAAAGCTAGGGGTTTGCTTGTGATTTGTAAAGAACTGCAACCCCTTTCTTTTGAGCAAATATATTGTAATGTATTTAAGATTAGGGTGCCAGTAGGATATGATTATGTATGTGTGTGTGAATATGTGTGGATTGTGTGCTTGTGTATGAATTTTTGTCTGTTTGCAGACTTGTGGCTAGAAACTTGGTTATGATGTGTGGTTTTGATGGATTTACTTAGTAGACCAAGTTTCTATTACAAGCAGATCTTTATTTTGATATATATGTGATTTTATAAGCAAATGCAAAGTGGTTGCATTGCAAATGGTGTGCTATGGGCAAACATACACTTTGGATAGAGAGAGTGGGTGCGTGGGCCCCACAAGGAGCTCTGAGCCAAGTGAAAATGTTTAGCATATGTATTTATATAAATACATGGTATTTAGATTGATTTGTGACCACCCTTGTATGATTTGTGCATTTTGGGGGTTTAGGGTCCATTTTAGGAAATGGCACCCGGGTGCTCAAATTTTGATGTATGGGGGTTTTCCATCATTTGAATGTTCTATCAGTGTTTTTAATCTTATTTGACGTGTCCAAAGTGTTCCCACAGGTTTATGATCATTAGGATGAGATTTGGACAATTTTGAAAATGGTTTTTACCAAAAAGCTGCACTTTTGCATCCGAGTGTCCAAATCTTAATCCGACCGTTGGATTTTTCTAAAATTTGGGTCACAAGTAAAAACTTTTATAAGCTTCGTGTGGGCTTTGGAATCACATCGATCGGATATCGGACGGAGAAACGACGCACTCCGGAATTTGGTCTGGTGGTGCTGTCATGACAGCTACAGTAGTTATATTGTAACCTGTACAAAATTCAATCCGTCCGTTGGATCTTTTTAAAATTTGGTATGCTAATAGTATTCTTAAAAAGTGACATGTGGGCTTTGAAATCACTCCGATCAGAAGTCGGATGATGAAATGGTGCACTCCGGAAGTTGGTCCGGAAGTGCTGTCATGACAGCTTTTCATGCTGTCATGACAGCAAAATTGACTAAATTTGTAATATGTCCAATTTTTAATCTGACCATTGGATCTTTTTGAAATTTGGTACACTTATAGTACCCTTTGAATGTGACTTGTGAGCTTTAAAATTTCTTTGATCGGAGATCGGAAGGCGAAATGGCGCCTCCCAGAAGTTGATCCGGGAGGGCTGTCATGACAGCAATTTAATGCTGTCATGACAGCATATTTTTACCCTTCTTTTGTCTAACTTGCTTCCGTGCGCTATAGGTAGAACCAAAAAAAAAAATTTAAAGCCTTTAAATGTTTAATTTTCCATTGTATATTTGCTTAGTGATTTAAATGGTTTGTTTCCTAAGTTGGTTTTAGGATTAACTCCTTAACCACACTTAGTTTATTTGACTTGTGTGATTTTTGGATAACACTCGGGGCAAGTGTTACATTAAGGCAGTACGAGACTTACCCAATAAGCAATAGGCCGAAAATGTCATCCTTTCTTTCAAAAATCGTTGCCTTAGCAAATGTTGGCCTCTTCTCCATGCCATACCTCTCTTCTCTTGATCTTCTTTCTGTTTTCACACACAGGACACGTCCCACTTAATCAAGTTTTTGCACCATGCGCTCAACACATCCATCCTCCGCTATGGTGCGTAGCACAGTAAGGGTAATCCTCACTATGCTCACACACTCTACTTCAAGATATCATTCTTTCGCTCATATCTGCTCATATAACATCCTAAATGAGTTAGAAAAACACTCCAATATTCAAAATTCTAATCTTACATTAAATCACTAAGTCATTCTGCAATCAATAGTTAATGCAAGATTAAAAATTTGGGATGTTACAGACAAGTTTCATTCTCTTTTCATCCAAACTCAATGGAAGCTAGTCGATCAGAGTCTAGTTTCTCTTGTTCAAGATTTTTGGCTTGACAACCCTCTGATCCTTGCTTAACTGTACTCTAATTGTAATGATTCCTAAGTTACTAAGCCATAGTACATGTGTGAAAGATGGGTTAGGTGGTAATCAAAGTTAATCAGAAAAAGCCTTTAATAGGCTAAGATATCACATCATAGAAAATACACTCCTAGATGTTGGGTTGCCAATATCAATGATTAATTTAATTATGGCTTGCATCACTACACCTACTATGCAAGTCTTTTGGAAGGGGAAACCATCCTCTATCTTCTCTCCCATGAGAGGCAATAAGCAAGGTGGCCCATTATCATCCTATCTCCTAATTCTATGCATGGAACGTCTCTCACAAGCTATTACTACAAAGGTTAATAATGGATCTTGGCAAACTATCAAATCAGGATATCATGGGGTCCCCCTCTCACACCTTTTCTTTGCAGATGATTTAATCTTTTTTCAAAGAAACCTCTAATGCCCAAATCAGAATCATTCATAAAGTTTTGGACCAGTTTTACACATCCATCATCAAGTCATAAGGTGAGTCATTCTAAATCTCAAGGAATATGGACGCTACTAGTTTCAATTGAATATGTTTGGTATTGGGCTTTCAACAGACCACCTCTCTTGAAAGATACCTCGAAACGCCTTCACTTAATGGAAAAATTACTACAGAACATACAATCACACACTTGAAAGGGTATAGTTAAAATTAATAGGTTGGAAGAGTAAATTCCTCTCTCTTGCGAAGCGTACCACTCTTGCCAAATCTGTACTTACTTCCATCCCCTTCTATTCTATGCAAATCACCATGTTGCTATCTGCTTACTGTCACGCCATTTGAAAAGTTGGTTTAGAAATTCATATCGGGCTATTTTGAGCAGCGGAGTATTAATCTAGTCAAATGGGAAGAATTATGCCAACCATTGAGTAATGGAGGATGTGTACTCATTAACCCAGAAACTCAAAACAAAGCCTCCCTCTCTAAGCTTTTATATAAAATGTGGCTAAGCCTAACCTGTCATGGCTGCGTATTCTGAAAGGTAAAAGCTTATTTTAGTTAGACGAGTCCTTTAAGTTCAATAGAAATATCTTCTCTCATATCTGGAAGAACATTGCTCAGATATGGCAAGACACATTGATGTATGTTAAATGGCAAGATGGTAACGGATGAGATACAAGATTTTGATCTGAGTATTGGGTAGGGGATTTTGATCCTCTGAAAAATCTTTCTTATGTTGATATTCCTGTTGATGAGTTGCAAAAACCCATATCAGATTCTAGGAAGCACGGATACGCCGATTTTGGTGGCGTATCCGTGTCGGATACGCACCGGACACAGACACTCGCTCTGTGCGAGTACGTCCATGTCCGATACATTTTTTGTTTGGGTGACACGGCGCGACACGGTGAGACACGGTGTTGACACGGCTGACACGGCTTCGACGCTGGACGCTGCGTTTTGCATAAAAAAAATTGCCTAAATAAGCAGATCGAACCTCACTCACTTTTGATTCTGACTTCTCTCCTAACTCGCGAAATCAGTCGGCCGTCGTTCTCTTACACTCAGTTCGCGAAATCAGATCGAACCTTCCCAGATCGCGCCGTTGTTCTCCTCCGCGAACCTTTGGAACAAGCTGCCGACCTGCCGTGCACCTGGTTCTTTCCTGCTCCTGCGCATTCTTGGTTGCTCAGCTCACCGGTGTCAGTCTTTCGTCCGTTCACTGGTTTACACTTCTCTCTCTCTCTCTCTCTCTCTCTCGTGTCTCTCAACTCTCAACTCTGTCTCTCACGCTGTCACGAGCCCGAAACTGAAAAATGAATAGATTTTTTATTTTATTTTTTATTCATCTTAAAGACTTAAACTTTGCTTCAACTCTCATGTCCAGTTTTTTTTTCTTTTGACCGAAGCTCATACTCTGCCCTCTTCTCTAAATTTAATTTTTATTTATTAATTTAATATATTAGATTGCAATGTTCATGTGTAGAATTTATATTTAATGCCTGCTTGCTTTCTATTTTTATGTTACATGTTATTTTGCTTAAATCTCAATCTGCATTTCAATGCTTTTAGTCATATTTAATTTTAGTTTATCTCAATTTTTTTTAATTAGCTATGGCTACAGCAAATAGTTCTGGGGGAAGTATTAATTCAGCAGCCCGTTTTTCTTCTATAAATGAGCTACAAAAAGATGGAACTCCCTTATGGTGCTATGTCACTTTGGTGAATAAAAATAGAGACATACCAGGAGGTGGAAATAGATATTGGAGGTGCAATTATTGTAACAAAGAATTCAATGGCTCTTATTCTAGAGTTAAGTGGCACTTGTTAAAAACTTCTAGCAAGGGAATTGCTATATGCTCGAAAGTTGATGAGTTTTGCCTAGCTGAGATGAGAAAATTACAAGAAGATGCTGATGATAAGACCAAGTCAAAGCAAGTGCCATTACCACCCCCGGCTGAAGGTTCATCTCCCTTATATCCTATGACAAGTGAAAGCAACCAAAGCAAGAGAAGGGCAGTAAGTCCATTAGAAAAGGCCTTCCAACAAGGGGCAAGAGAAAATCTACATGCTGAAATTGCAAGAATGTTTTATACAGGTGGTCTATCTTTTCATTTGTCACGCAATCCATATTTCATTAGTTCATATCAATATGCTGCGAACAACATCATTCCTGGATATAAACCTCCTGGTTATAATGCATTAAGGGGTCCATTGTTGCAAAGAGAAAGAGCTCACACAGAGAAGTTACTTGAACCAATTAAAGGAACTTGGAGTTTGAAAGGAGTGAGCATAGTCACAGATGGTTGGACAGATGCTCAAAGGAGGCCTTTGATTAATTTTATGGCTATGTCTGATGGGGATCCCATGTTTTTGAAGGAAGTTGATGGATCCAAAGAATATAAAGACAGACATTATATGGCTGACTTGATGCATCAAGTGATTGAAGAGGTCAAGCCTCAAAATGTGGTTCAAATAATCACTGACAATGCATCTGTTTGCAAATCAGCAGGTAGGCTTATAGAGGCTGAGTATCCCACTATTTTTTGGACGCCATGTGTTGTGCATACGCTTAATCTTGCATTAAAGAACATATGTGCAGCAAAGAACACAGAGGCAAATGAGATTGTGTATGATGAATGCCATTGGATAGAGGAGGTTAAGGATGATGCTGCTTTTATTAGAACATTTATCATGCGTCATTCTATGCGATTGGCAATTTTTAATGAATTTGTGCCATTAAAATTACTTGCCATAGCTGACACTCGCTTTGCATCCACCATTGTTATGCTCAAAAGACTCAAGCTCATTAAAACTTCACTTCGTACAATGGTGATAAGTGAAGCATGGAATGCTTATAAGGAAGATGATGTTGGAAAGGCAGCCACAGTGAAAAATTTGATCCTTAATGACTCTTGGTGGGATAAGGTGGATTATATACTTTCTTTCACTGGACCGATTTATGACATGCTTCGGATGGCTGACACAAATAAGCCTATACTTCATTTAATTTATGAAATGTGGGATTCAATGATAGAATAAGTGAAGGAGTCCATCTACAAGCATGAGAATAAGGAGCTTTCTGAGTATTCAGCTTTCTTTGATGTTGTTTATAGGATCATTATTGATCGATGGACAAAAAGTTGCACTCCCCTTCATTGTCTTGCACATTCATTGAATCCTAGGTTAGTTATATTACTATTGCAATATTTTTCATTCATGAATTATTTAGTTTTGTTCTTAATCCTTTTTGTTTGCAAATGTTATAGGTATTATACACCCCAATGGCTTGAAGGTGCTCCCAATAGAATTCCGCCTCATTTAGATAATGAAATATCATCTGAGAGAGTAAAGTGCCTTTATAGGTACTTTACTGATCCTGAGGAGAGAAAGGCGGTCTTTCAAGAGTTCCCAAAATTTGTTGGAAGTTTAGACTTCTATTCATCATTTGATTGCTTGCAAGATAGGTGGAATTTAGAACCTAAAGGGTGGTGGTTAAATTATGGTTCTTTCACCCCTATTCTTCAGAGGCTTGCATTGAAACTTCTAGGCCAACCGTGCTCTTCCTCTTGTTGTGAAAGAAATTGGAGCACTTACTCCTTTATCCACTCATTGAAGAGAAACAAGATCACTCCTAAAAGAGCTGAAGACTTAGTTTTTGTGCATACTAATCTTCGTCTCTTGTCAAGGAAGAGTGAAAAGTATCGCATTGGGCAAAGTAGAATGTGGAATATTGGTGGGGACACTATGGAGCCATTTGATGCTGTCAATAGCCTTGAGATGGCAAGTTTGTCACTTGATGAACCCATTTTAGAGCAAGAAATTATAGGAGAGCCTAGTAATGTAATGGAAAATGAGGATGATGAAATGTGATGTATTTGATAGTATTTTATATTTTTTTGGATTGCTATACATTTTGATAGTTGACATATTACTTACATTTATATAAAAAAATATTATATATTGCCGTACCCGTATCCTAAAATTTTAAAAATTTGCTGTATCCCCGTATCATGCCGTATCGTATCCGATACTCGTACCCGTATCTGTGCAACCTAGTTCAGATTACTTTGACACAAACGGGCTTTGGAAGTGGCATCTTTTTCCAAGATTTGTTACCCAAGTCAAACATTTATCAAATTAAAGCCATCTCCATTGATATCAACAATCCTACCCCACGATCATGCCGCTGGGCTCTAAATGGCAATGGATAATTCAGTTTGAAATCTGCATACAGAGCTTCACGGACCTGTAGTTGGAATGATCCTGACGTCCTTTGGGGACTTTTTTGGAAATTACATATAGCTCAATGACTCAAAACCTTCCAATGGTTAATGTTTACAGGGAGATTACTCACAAATGTGGAATGATTTAAAAAGAAAGATGAAAATTGACCAGCTATACGCTCTTTCTGCAATTGTCCCACAAAAGATCTCAACATGTTCTGAAAGATTGCTCATTTGCAGCCTAGGTTTGGAAGAAGTTCCTTCCATCTGATATGTATGTTGACCTTTATAGGAAGAATGTGCTTTCCAGGATGAATGACAACCTACGATCCTTGCTGAATTCATGGAAGGTTGGCATAAGTAACCATATGCTGGAAGGTTTGGGAAATTCTGAATTGTCGCATCTTTTTATTAAAGAGACTTAGTTGCATTTAGTTTTTAGTTTGCTAAAAGTTCATTTGTTGAAAGTTTATTTGATAAAAATTAATTTCATAAAAGTTAGTTGTTGTAGTGAAATTTATGTTTGGATATATTTTTTCAAATGTCAACTTGATACACTAAAAGTTGTTTGGGTTATGATAATGAAATGTGCTTTTAAATGTACAATTATTAAAAAAGACATTGATTTATGATGATTTGCAATTTTTATTATACAAATGTAATATATTTAAAATATTTAAAAAATGTAATAAAGATTTTAAATAACATAAATTTTGATATAAAATGCTAAAAATTTGATCTTTATTTATTTCTATTTTTTTAATTTGTAATTTTAAAAAAATTGATAAAGATTTATAATTTTTATTATACATTAATGGTAAAAATTAACATGATTAATTATTTAATTTATAATGCTAAAAAATTGATATCTGATTATTATTATTATTATTGAAATAATAATTATATTTTTAATGAATTAACTATTTTTTAAATAAAAGAATAAAAGATTAAACTTAGGGTAGTATGATTAAATAACATCTTACTTTTTAAATTCCTTTTTCAAAAGTTTTAAATAATTACATTTCAAAAATTTATTTTCAGCTATTATTTGAATATATTTTCAGGATGTGCTTTCCTGTAAAATATTTTATCCAAACAACTTTCAACTTTCTAAAAGCAAAATTTTACTTTCTGAATGTGAAATGGAAGTAAACCAAACAAGCCATGGCTATTGATAATTGGGAGAAGGACAAATAAGAACATTGCAAGAATATTAATGTCAAATTAAGATTTTTTTAACACTGATATTTCTAAATTTTAGTACTCCTTCTACCATGTTTGCTAAAGTTTTAAATTTGACATTATTGTTCTTATAAGATTTTTACTTGTCACTCTTATCACAATTTTGAGTAAATTTGTGTTATTTTTACTTGGAAAAAATGAGAAAACAAATTCCCCCCACCCCATGTGTCTTGTTCTGGATCAGTCGCTGTTGTCATTCTCTGTTGATAATTTTGTAATTCAAATTAGAGCCATTGTTGATCATCCTGACCTTCTTCCACTTTTAAAAACTTTTAAAATTTTGTATAGGGAAAAAAAAAATTTTAAGTAGTTTTATACAAAGGTCAATGCTTTCTTCATGGTAGAGTTCAACGTCCCAAGGTGCATAGATCTTTTCTTTACATGAATTTTGAGAGGAAAGAAGGAAGGAGCGTAAAAAGCTTATTTTCCTTGATTTGTTTCGGATGCATTTAAATTCTTGGTACGCAATTTTCCAGCCAAGGCTTGGAAAATAAATTCTTACCTCTCCCCTCTGGAAAACTTATCGGTCCTTGGAAATATATTTTGCTTCCAAAAAATACCCCTTAGCTTAGTTTTCATCTCCTTCATATGGGCATAGACCCACTAACCTTTGTACCGTCAACCTTCAATGTTGTTGGCCCTGACTCCTTGCCCAGTTGCCCAGTTGCCCTCCTTCGTGCACCCACGTCACCGTCTACCATGGCCCCACTTGTTTTTGTGATCTTTGATCTCTCCCACAATGAAGCTCTTCTATCTCCAACCTCTTCCCTTCAATCTCCAACCTCCGCTCTCCCTCCCTCCCTCAAGCTCTCTGTTCTAGACGACAAAGTTTTGACTCATTGTCCAACCAATCATGATTAATTTAATATATTTTTAATTTTTATGTTAAAAAATAACATTAGAAATAATATTTTATAAAATATTATTTTACAAAATTAAATTTACAATAATTGTTTCTTTTTATAATTAAATATATTCTTGTATAAAAATTGGAAGGCGAGACTGTGAGAGGTTACTTTCTTTGCTTCAATAAAAATGTTATTATTGACTTTTTAAAATATAATTAATAAAATTAATAAATATTTTATACTTTAATGAAATAAAAAGAAAAAAATATGTGATGTAATATTTATAGTATAAATAACTACTTTAATATTTATACTTTTATAATAAATATACATCTTGCATTTTTTTACTTAGTTTTTACTTTTCAATATATTATCACCCATAATAGCTTGGCTTAGTTTTTACTTTTCAATGCTCACAATGTATTAATATGCATAAAACCTAGCTTAAAATACAACTTAAATTCTTAAAAATAAAAAATATTTCAGATCATTCAAACTAGTTGATGGTTAGACTTTCTTTCGGTTCAACTGGTTCGAATTGGCACCTAATGTTACATACCGGACCGGATAGTAGGCCAGTTTCTGGTTGAATCGATCATATTGACGATCCAATCTGTTTGCTTTAACATTGCTGCTTTGTTTCTGGTTGTGATTATGCAACGATAAAGAAAAATCAAGAGGAGAGGAGGGTTATTTTGGTTAATTTTTATTAAGGGCATTATGGCCTTTTCATGTTCTAGGATTTTCTCAAGCGCAATTCATTTTTACCAAGCAAAAATCATATCAAAATTCGATTCAAATTTTGTCATACCAAACAGTACTTTTCATACGATTTCCAGCTCCATTTCTTTCAAAATACTTCCCAAGACCAAGTCTAACAAACAGATATCTCAAGGCCAACAGACCAAGGTCCTCATAGCCAGAGCATAAGAATACATCAATCCTTCACGTGTCAAGAAGCTCATGAGCCTTGTTCATAAATTGAAAAATACAACGGTAATCTAACAAATCAATAGAATTCACATGATAAATTGAAAAAGGATAAGTTATTTTTTTTTTATATAAAAAAATCAAATTCAGAACCTCCCACGCCCAAAATTACTCAATCAGTGGGTGAAGTTAGACTAATTCAAAATCACCTGCCGTTAACCATGACAAGCGCCTTGCCTGTAACAAAATGCCTTTGCCTCCTTCAGATTTATCTGCTTTTTTTAAAAAAAATAAATAAATAAAAGGGCATGCTAAGCCTGGAGGGTTACAAAAGGGTGGATATTACTCCACGAAGTATTTATCAGCATTAACATACTGTTGATGGACTCGAGTACATTCTTCTCAGATAACCAGGTAAAGAAAATGAGGTTGTTCTCTCTCCAGACGAGGTTTAAAGTCACGAGTCAGAGTAGAGCTTTATTTTGCTGGGGCCTTTCTGTCTGGACACTTGAAGACCTGTGGATTTTTGTATAATGAGGTCCTTTGTACCAGATCTGTTAACTCACCGTTAGAGGATAGATTTGCTTTCCACATGCCTAATCAAATGCGGAAACAAGATGGGGCTAGCCCTCCAGACATGGCGTCTGTCTTGGCCATGGATTTCTCTCTGCTGTAATTAAATGACAATATTAAGTTTGAGCTATTGCATATTGAAGATGAATGATTTAAGAATGGAAATTTACGGCACGGCTTGAAAATTTTGGAAAGGTAAATGAAAAATGGAGTTTGAAAAGAATAAACCGAAAGCAGAAAATAAGAAAGTGAATTGAAAGTTACAAAAGGTTTGGCCGTTTGGCATGGTTCGTGTAAAACGAAGTAAAAACACAGTACATTCAAAAGACTAGCTAAGGTGTAACGTGGCCATCGCAACAAAACAAAAAGTAATGGCTTCTTTTATACTCATTATTAAATAGGGTTGACTACATGGATTATCTCTAGTGATAATTTTGGTGATTATTCATAAATTCATAAATTTTGAGAAAGCAATTATGCAGTTTAGTCACACGTGGAGCTTGGTAACAAGTGCCTCCAAGTATGCCCGATTCTATATAATGACTAATTTTATGTTTGTTTCTTATTTCTTCCTTTCTTGCACCTACAAAAATCTTATACCAATAAATTTGAGAATTAGAATATTCCTCAATTTAAATTAGACAAAATCGCAGAGATAACTCTTTTATTAAAGACAGACTAAATAAATAATAGTGATATGAAGAGGCCCTTGCCTTCACCTTGTTAAAAGTATCATCAGAAAAATAGGACGAAGAATGTGAATACCTTGGTTTTACCAAAACGGTGGAGGAAATAATGAACTCATTCCCTCCGGATGCTTTCCAGTGCCAAGAATCAGAAATGCTGGAGTTCTACAGATCCAAAATTGCTCAGTAGGACTACATGAATATCAAATGCTGCAGCTCAATATGAACCTTTGCCCCTAATGCCTACTGAATGCCGGAATACACTAAAAGCATCAAATCCATCATCCAATAAGTTTTGTAGACGGAGAATCTATAAAGCAGGTTCAAAAAGGTTAAAGCTTGAAACATTTCACGACTGATTCAATGCAAGCACCCTTAACTGTTAAGCAATCATTTATGATGGCTTTTATTTTTTAGTTTTCTTTCACCCTTATAGACAGAGAGTTCTTTTTTCTCATGAAGCACTTCATCAATCATTTGTAACCATAAACCATTGAAGTTCTTGTGAAAATTCTGCTGAAACCAATCCAAAATTTCTGTATGAAGTTCCCTTGGATTCTGCTGCCACACCATTCTTAACATTGCAGAACTATCAATCAACCTACTCTTTAACTTGCTCAAGAGATTTACGACCCTCTTTTGACAAAATGCTTCTCTCTTCAGAATGCTTTCAGGAGGGGCCGCCATATATTTTCGCACAAATTTTAAACATGGACACACCTGACCAACAAGCAAAGCGTAGGCAAAAACTTGCATCCTAAGATCATTATCACTAATTGGCAACTGGCACTTTGGAAGCTCCCAACAGAAACGCCCAAAGGTTGGATTGACCCAACACTTTACTTGGTCAGTCAGGGTATCATAGAAAGGTCTGGGATCCATTAAGGGTGCAGAGAATACACATGAAGATTTGGCATGCTCAACAAGCCAACCTGGATCCACACACGTTACCCCATGCATATATGGTCTGTTTGTATACAATAACTCATTATAAACTAAAAACTCAGGGGCTGCAATAGAAACTGATGACCAACGATGAATGAAGACACTTTCTTCACACATGCATGTTTGATACCGAATAGCAGGAACTCTTGTGCTGCCATCCAAGGTCCTAGAGGACCCTATGATACGTTTGGCAACCCTGTCAACCCAACCAGCACAGATTGCTTCACAGATGAGCCGTTCCTCATCCAGCAAAAGAGGATATTTTTCACAAGATACCTGCCAAGCATGTTCTGTATCCTCCAAAGTTCCATGAATCCAAGAGTATTCCTGTCCCAAACCACCAACAGTACTCTGATAGAAGACAAGTCTAAGTAGCTGTTGCCTAAGCTTTGACATCTCTTCCATGGTTTTGAAGTGCAGTACATTTTCATCACAGAATTTTTTAGGCTTCTGTGAATGCTCAAAACACTGCAAAGCATAAGCTATTGTCAGGGCATCACTAGAAATAACACGAAATTTTTTACGGGAAACTTTAGCAGTTTCTTTTAGCTTCTTTCTCCTTGATCTTTCTTCCTTGTCACTGGCTTTCTCACTATCCACCATGCTAGATTTCTTATACTTCTCTAGGTCTCCATTACCATCATTTCCCTCGAAGTGCATTATAAAAGGATTTGAAAGGCTTAATGCAGCAGCAGCTGCAACAGCATATGCTAGAAGTAAACTTGGTCGTTTGCATTTATACTTGCTCTTCATCAATCTAATAACTGTAAGGAGCATCCTTGAGTGACGTGGAGTCAAGGGATAAAGTGCCATGACCTTCCCCAGTGGCGTGAGTTGATCATTGTTATCAAGTGCTTCAAGAGCATGCAAGGATTCCTCTGCTTCAACCAGTGCCGTACCGCTAGGAGGAGTAGGAAATGGGAATTTTACAACCTGGATAACATGTAATAAGTCAATATCCATATCCAAAAAGATCTCAAATTAAGATACAGAAAACATAGTTGACAGCAAAATGGGATATTGTACATACAATCAGAAGGTAACTGAAAAGCTATATACGATAGTTAATTCCTTTATCCAAGTACAGTCTTGTTATTAATTCATGTAGTGGGGACCTTTTCCGTAAAAAGGATCTTAATCTTTCATTCAGTCCCATATACAGAGTCAAGTTATTGCAATGGTAATGGAGAAGGCCATAAGAATCAGAAATTGCTCTCCTCACACTCAATGACTGTTGTAATGATCATCTTGATCGCAATTTAAGTTGATTCCAACTATAAAGGTGCTACCAACAAGACCAAAGCATGAATAACTCAATCTAATATATGCGCACCATTGATGATACATTTTCCCAAAGAAAATATGAGAACCCAATATAGACAAGCAGATGGACTTAATGAAACTTAAAGAGAAAAGAAAGCACATCTTCAACCTACCTTCTCAATAAGCATAGATTTTAACAGAAGAACCACACCATGAATGGGTACTTTAGAGACTTCAGCAAGAGAGAAGTCAGGAAGTATATTATTAAAGACTGCAGAAGAATAAAGACGGTAACAGTGGCCAGGTCCAGTTCTTCCAGCTCTTCCTGTTCGCTGAGCAGCAGATGCCTTACTTATCCATTGTACTTCATATGCTTCCATGCCATTGCAGGAATTGTAATTCTTCACTTTTTCCCTTCCAGTATCCACCACATACTTTATCCCTGGGATTGTTAAGGAGGTTTCAGCAACGTTTGTGGCAACAACAACAAGACGCGCTCCCTCCTTGCTTTCTTCAAATACACGAAGTTGAGCAGCCGCAGGAAGCATAGCATAAAGTGGTAGAACAAAAGGGAACTTGGGGAATCCTCTCTAGCCCTCTTCTCCTTATAAATTATTGATTGATCTAAAGGTCCATCCTTATTCACAGAGAGAGTTTGCTCCCCACCAGAATTGGAGTTTGATGGTGCTTTCCCCGACAACGATTCAAAGGCCGCCTTTAAGGAAGCATGGTTCCCCTCCTCTCCTAGGACATTGACAAAATCATTGTTCTCTGAATGTTTAAGATTATCATCTTCATCAAATTCCAAATCACTATCAGTTTCTGAATTATATGAAAAATCTGATTCATGCTCACATAAATCTTGCCGGTCTTCATCACAAGCACTAAACCTATCTGTTTGTTGGGTGGTTGAATTCCCATGAATCTCATATGCTTCACTTATCTCCTTCATATCTAGTCCCCCAACAGAACTCGCCCCATGTACCATAGCACCATCATTTTCTACAGATACTTTAGATGCTTTCATGATCAACTCTCTTGAAGCATTGCGTAGCTTCCTGCAAAGGTATTCCACTTCCCTTTGGCCAGTGACAAAGACAAGTATGCCACCAGGTGGCAATCTCTTGTGAATTGCCAAGACCTTTTTATATGCTTGCCCAATATAATCAACAATCTCTGTCTTCTTTGAAAAGTGTATCGTCACAGGAAACTGTCTTGTGGGAACTTCGATAACAGGGGGCGGTGTCAGGAATAACCTTTTAGAAGTGAAGTCATCTACTCTCAAAGTGGCACTCATCAGCACAAGCTTTAATGGGAAAATCATATCATTAGGAGCTATGCTTCCTCCTGAAAGCATCGTCTTTTGCTGTTCCATGTAAACCTGCCATGTAGAAAGATCATTATACATCGGGCTAGAAGATAAAAGAGCAATCACAAGCTTTCATTGCTAAAAATTTGCAGATGAAGAATAATCTAGTCTACCTCTTGCCGAGTCCTAATAACACGTGACAACATCCCAATCAAAATATCTGTGTTCAAGCTCCTCTCATGAGCCTCATCAAGAATTATGATAGAATAATGCCTCAAGAGAATATCATTCTGTATCAGAAAGATTTTCCATTACACACCATAAATTCATAATGCATCATGGATCACCATCACAAAAAAAACATGCAGGCTAACAACCACCAACGGAATTACCAAAAATTACTGTTCAACACATGGGATATGCTCAGATGGGTTTTTCGCCCAATCAAATTTAGTCAACATTTATTTAATGTAAACAAAATCAGCCAAAGACAAAAGAGATAGTGGTAACTAGTAGTAACCATGATAGTGGAAACTACCTCTGGCATGCATATCATCAAATATATTAAAGAAAAATTGAATATACAAAAGAGATAATAAGGTAAAATAGAACCTGAACTTCACGTAGTAAGATTCCATCAGTCATAAACTTGACAGAACAATTATCTCCAATTTTCTTGTCATATCTAACTTGAAAGCCAACCTCCCTGCCAAGATGAAGACCAAGCTCATATGCCACACGCTTTGCTGTCGCAAGAACAGCAACCCTACGTGGTTGAGTAACACCAATAACACCTTTGTGAACTCTAGACTTGCTCGAACCATAACCAGCTTCATAAAGAAACTGACAACACAAAAGAAAACCAAACTACATGACATCATGTTCTCTCAAAGATCAAGCTTCAATCCTAAACAACACCAGCATAAAAGAGCATCAAAGATTCTCACTTGAGGAACTTGAGTTGTTTTACCGCATCCAGTTTCACCACAAATGATAACAGAAGAATGATATCTTATGGCTTCCATAATCTCTTGCTCCATCATGACTATTGGGAGATCCTTTCTTTTCTCTTGAACCTCAGATGGTCTATATACATGCACAACAGTAGGGGTAGTTGAAGCAGAAGAATCATTAAGGTTGCTCGGTTCACTGAGATTGGTTTTAGAGATCTCACATCTCCCATCCTGTTCCATGTCCCAAATAGCAATAAACTAATTTACAGATGGACAAGTACAATGATATGTAAAATAATAAAAACCATGTGTTATCTAGGTAGTGGTAGCTATTAAAGGGGGCAGTTAGGTCATTTGTTGTTCTGTTTGACTATTCTGCACCAAAAACCTATAAATACTAGGTTTCTGTTAATTGTAATTAGGCTGATATCATAATAAAAGTGCATCATTCAGAAAACCCCTGATTCTCTCTCGATTTTTCTCTCTATTTCTTCCTTCTTTTCTGAATTCTCTTCCTCTTCTTCTCAATTCTATCTTATATCTCTCTTCTATTCTACTTCTTCCACCTTTTTCATATCATACATCATCTCACTTACATGGAAAACACTTAAAATGACATTACAACATATTAACAAACTACACTGTAAACATGTAGGTGCACTTCTGTGCAATCTCCATAAAGATTAATTATCAGCAAATAATTTGTGAATATATATGATCATTTCTTCCAACAGATATTAATTCAACTGCCAATTCTGAAAGGTAGATAATGCAGTTTATGGAGAGATTAAAGTGTAATGAGATAGGTATTACAAATACGTGCATCTATTCATCCAAATTCTCTATCCACATCAAAAACGAGCATGCATCATACCTTGGATTCAGCTCTTATACTCTCATCAATAGGCTTGCCTCTATCATAACGTTGAGTTATATCATCATGTACTGATGTTGCGTTCTCCTCAACAGAGACACCACCAAGAGAGGTGGTCAGAGGTTCAATATTTTCATAAGATTCATCACCACAAGCTGGTTCTTGAGAGGACAGTAAAGGAGCATAAGGCTCACATGAGAGTTCTCTTTCAAATCTAGCCAGTTGGGTTTGGTCATTTTCCATGGTTTCCTGTTCCACATGAATCCCTTCTGTCTCAGGTTCAAATCTGTGTGGAACATCCAGAATCCTGGACAGATCATGACTATGATCAACCCTTAATCCTTCCTTCAATAAATGTATAGCTCTCCTCCGTCTCTCTAGCACAGTGTCAGTCTACAAAGGATGAGAAGATTAAGTACATATAGAGCCCATGCACTGACATTTTTAGTTTCACCATCTAGGGAATTAAGTTATCATTGTTTTGACCGTACTAACCCGATTAATATTCTGGGCAGACTGCAAAAGAGGATATGCATAATCTGGAATCTTGTATTTGCTGTAATAAATAAAAGGGTTCAACAGTGTATCAGTAACTTAGTGGCATAAAAAATATATATATCCTTCATTTTTCCTCCAACAAATTGTAATTTCTACTCCTTTCATATAAAATTTCATCATGCATCCAAAAAAAAAAGGTTTACATACTTTAATGTCTCAATGCTTCTCTTTAGTAGAAGTTCTTTCTCCTTGTCCTCCTTCAAAAATGAAGCAAAACAAAGTCATATCCAAAGCAGAAAAAAAATAAAAAGCGAAGTTTTTAGCTTTTATTTATACACAAACCTCTAACTTCTTCAGCTTCCTTTTCTGAGATTGGCTCAACTTATGTTTCTTATTTGAGTTGATTTCTCTATGTACCTATACAAGAAATCTTTAAGCAAAAAAACCTCTTTCATGCAGGATAAAAATTTGAAGCAAATTGCATACTTAATCCTTTCGCTAACCATACCTGATTCATCCCTTTCCTTTTCTTCCCTATCTTAGCTGGCAATAGTAATGCATTACTATCATCACCACCATCTCCCAAGCTGCCAAAATATAGGAGTATTGAAATGGTTAACCCAAAAAAGGTCAATTCTTAACAATGTACATGATTTTGACCTGATCTCCACTTTTCATAGAAAAGAGAAAAAAATACTAAAGAGAAGAGAAATGTAATACATAAAATAAGGACAAGTCCTCTCAAACCAGAAAGGGAAAAAATAATTGAAGAAATTTAGCCATTCAAACATATTACCTTAGAGATCCATCCTGAGAATTGAACTTGATATTGCCTCCACTTTCTGCACGAACTTCCATTACGCTCTGCTTAAAAAATACAAGCCAATTCAGGGATGCTGCACCACACAGTTGTAAATAGGAAAACTGACCCTTATGGCTGAAGCTGCAACTCCAAAGTTAACAATAATCAAGGTTAAAAACTAGCAAAGCGAAACAAAGGATCTGACAAGGCAGAGAAGCACAAAAGGAGAAATCAAATAGAAGAAAAGCAGAAGCTGCCTCATAATCATAGAAGCTAGAAGGTAGCATGTTAAGGAGGGAAGGAAAGAAAAAAAAATTATAGAAAAAAGATTTAATGAAATTATAGAAGAAGCTACATTTGACCTTCCCTCTTTGGTCTCAATAAAAACAAAAAACAAAAAACAAATAAGAAATGAACAAAATTAAAGAAGCTGCTATATTAGGCATTATTTCCAGCACTTGAAACATTTATGGGAGAGGTTCTCGTGATGCCATCATGAAAACAGTTTCCCGGGGGGGGGGGGGGGAGTTGCCTTTTTACATCCCTCTTTAATGGCCACAAAGAAGTAATGCAACCATAAAATCACTGACTGCTGACCCTTGGGTTCCTTCGTTTGGCTAATGCCATTCCCTTGTATTCAGGAGAAAAGCGGGGAAGGCCAGAAAATCAGTTTCAAACCATAATGAAATCAGTTCCTTCACCAAGTTACGAACCTCTTATCAACAAATAGGAAGATTATTGAAGGAGTTGAACCAATTTTTCAAATTGTGGACTCATATCTTTCCTAACTATCAAACCCATAAACCAACAAGAAGCACACCTGGACATGTAGAATGTACCAATTAATACCATAAGTTATCTTATAGTACAACAATATATTACATGCTAACCAATCATAACATCCCTACAAGCCACAACTGCTGATGAAAGAGTATTGCATATCAAACTACTTTTAAAATTAAATAGCAACCCACTACTTTGAACATATATAGCATGAACTTAAAGTGATAAGTTTATCACCTTAAAGAAACTTTATCTGGAAAAAATGACTTCGAAGCCAAAAGTTTAAACTTCTCACCTACAAAAGTATATCAATGACAAGTAACGTCAAAACCACTACTCTAACTTCAACGTATATGCTTTAATGGCATTTACACCAGCAAAGATGGGGATATAAGTGGATTCCAGAAGAACAAGAAGAACCAAGCATAAACTTACAAATTGTGATACGTAGGAATAATTTGGGCTGATAAGAATTAGAGAGGGATAAGGGAAAAGATGAGAGAAGAATAGAAAGCTAGGTAGAAGTAGAGAGGAATGAGAGATTAAGGAGAAGAAGTTGAGAGAAATTGAGGAACGTAAGGAATTCTGTTGATTGATCATTGAGATAAAACTACAATTCAAATACCTTAATATATATATATATATAGGCTTCACGCTCACACTCTCCCAACGGCTAACAGCTACTCATAGCAACTGTCATTTAAATCTAAAACTAACTAACATTTTATAAAACTATAACAATACCCCCCTCAAAAAGATCCTTGCCCTTAAGGATCATTGATAACAAAATTGAGGAAACTTTTGCTGCAACTGATGTAGAGCCATCCAAGATGCTTCTTCATCAGGTAATTGCTTCCACTTAATCAGAACTTCAGTAATAATCTGTCCCCTCTTCCTTCCAACTCACTTTTGTAGAATACTTTCGGGTTCTAAAGCTGGAGGTAGCTCCAGCCAATCAAGAGGTGGATGCCTTTGCTTTACTTTAGAATCAGGATAAAGCTTCAATAAAGAAACAAGGAAAGTTGGATGTATTCTAAATTCAGCAGGTAGCTCTAACTTGTAGGCAACAGCACCTATTCTTTCAATGACCTTATAAGGGCCAAAATATCTAGGAGCTAGCTTTTGATTACTCCTTGCAGCTGCAAAAATTTGTCTATAGGGCTGCAACTTAAGAAAAACCCATTGACCAATAGCAAACTCTCAATCTATTCTATAAGAATCAACTTTCTGCTTCATCAAATTGGCTGCCTGATGAAGATGATGCTTCAAAACAGCCAAGCACAGCTTATCTGGCCGAAAAAGTCCTGTCTAAAACATCCAAAACAGAACTATTAGGCAAATAAGGACAACAAATAGGGGCTTTCTGACCATACAAAAGTTCATGGGCAGTTGCTTTCGTGGCTGTATGAAATGTGGTGTTATACCACCATTCGGCTTGTGATAACCAGTTGCTCCAATCCTTTGGTTGTTCCCAACACATACATCTAAGATAAGTTTCTAAGCACCTATTTAGAACTTTAGATTGCCCATCTGTTTGAAGGTGATATGCGGTTGAAAGTTGCTGTTTAACTCCCAAAACCTGCAAAAATTCCTACCAAAATCCACTCACAAATATAGGATCACGATCACTAATAATTTCAGCAGGTGCACCATGTAATTTATACACATTATCCATAAAAAGTTGTGCTAAAGAAGCTGAATAAGGATGAGAAAGAGATATAAAATGGGCATACTTACTCATTCTATCAATTAACACCCAAATTGTATCCTTACCATGAGATTTAGGAAGTCCTTCAATAAAATCCATGATAATACTTTCCCAAACTCGACTTGGAATTAGAAGAGGTTGCAACAGCCCAGGAGGAGCAATAGCCTCATATTTACAATGAGCAAATGTATCACATTACTTGATAAAATCCATCACATCATTAATCACTTTCTTCCACCAAAATAATGCCTCAATTCTATGATAAGTAGCTTGAATTCCCAAATGCCCTCCCTGGGGACTAGAGTGTAACCATCCTAAAATTTGTTGTCTCAAAATTGGATCATTCCCAATTACTAGCTTTCCTTTCCTTCTCAACAATTCTCCATCTAGAGAAAAATGCCCCCATATACCACTATTTTCTTGAGCTTTCTTCTGAATTTCTGCAGCCACAGCATCACTTCTCCAACTTCCCTTGATTTTGTCCAGCAATTCAGGAGAAGAAGTGTCTAAAACCATCTGCATCAGCTGCTGTTTGGGTATTCTTAGAGAGAGCATCAGCTGCTGAATCATTATTTCCCTTCTTATATTGCATCTCATAATCAAACCCAGCTAATTTTGCAACCTAAAACATCTGAAATGAAGTTTTTAACTTCTGTCCAAGCAGATATTTCAGGCTTTGTTGGTCAGACCTGGTTATAAACTGCTTCCTTTCAAGGTATTGATGACAATGAAGAACAGCAAGGACCACAGCCATTAACTCTTTTTCATATATAGAAAGGTGCTGGTGTCTTTCAGCCAAACCCTTGGTAAAATCAAGTAAAACCACATGCATCTGTCTCCACAACAAATTCCTTAGTAAAATGAGGAAGAGAAAGGACAGATGCTGGTGTTAATCCCCCTTGGAGATTATTAAATGCTTTGGAAGCCACTTCTGACCATTTGAACCCATCCTTCTTAAGAAGACAAGTTAGTGGCTTTGCTAGAGCTCTATAGCCCTTGATAAACCTTCTATAGTAGCCCGCCAACCCTAGAAACGCCCTTAGTTGCTTCATATTCTTAGGTTTGGGCCATTCAGCAACCGCTTGAATCTTCTTTGGATCTGTCTTAACTGTCCCCATTGCCAATGATATGACTCAAATACTCCACCCCATTTGCTGCAAAAGAACACTTGCTCATCTTGACATAATAACGATGTTTCCTCAAAATGGAAAAGACTTCCTTAAGATGCTGTACATGGTCATCCAAATTAGCATTATAAATTAATATATCATCAAAAAATACAAGCACAAACCTTCGTAAATAAGGGCGAAATATGCTGTTCATGGCTCCTTGAAATGTAGCTGGGGCATTAGTTAGGCCAAATGGCATAACCAGCCACTCATAGTGCCCACTATGTGTTTTGAAATTAGTTTTTCTAATATCTTGAGGCATCATTCTAATTTGGTGATAAGCAGCCCTAAGATCTAGCATTGTGAAATATTTTGCAACATTCAACTCATCAAAATGGTCTTCTACCAAAGGAATGGGATATTGATTTTTCAATGTTTTCTTATTTAATTCCCTATAGTCTATACACATTTTCCAAGTTCCATCCTATTTCTTAACTAAGACTATTGGAGCAAAAATGCACTTGAACTTTCCTATATTACCCCCTTGCAATAACTCTCCCACTAAACCTATGTAGCACGGATACTTCAAAAAAATAAATGTACCCGTATCTAATACATATCCGATACGATACTTGTAGAATACTTCTGCATACATATCCCATATTCTGACATTTGTGATATGATTTTTTTCAATAATTTTTTACTATATCACTTAAAAACTTGAAAAAACACTTAATATTTTAGTAATTACTATAAATATCCTTATATTACTTTAGAAATTCTTGTTTAAAATCAAAATACCTATCCTTATATCATAAAATGTTGAAATATATATTATAAATATCCCCGTACCTGTATCCTAAAATTTTAAAAATTTGCCGCATCCCCATATCATGCCGTATCATATCGGATACTCGTACCCGTATCTATGCAACCTAGCACTAAACCCTCAATGACATCCTTTGAGTTGAGGGATATCTATAAGGCTTTAAATTTATAGGATTAGTGCCCTCTTGAAGGATAATAGAATGATCATGCCCTTCATAGAAAGGCGGCAACCCTTTTGGTAATTCAAAGAAATCAGAAAAGTGGAAGAGATTACTTCTAGAATTTCTGAACACCCTGGAAAGAGAAAATTTCCACCTTTTCTTGTCCCTTTGGTATTAATTGCAACAGAAACACCTGATCTGTGTGAAAATCTTCAATTTCGAGCCTCTTTGGATGCACCACAAATAAGGTGTAGGGAGGGGTGGCTTGAAGCTTACACATTTTCCATATGTTAGAGACTCACAATCCCAGAAAGCATTTTTAATACTTTTGAGCCATTTAAGCCCAAGTACTAAATCATAAGTATGCAGATCAAGAACTCTAAAATCAAAAGAAAATTCTAAGCCCTACATTCTCCATTTAAATCCTTCCCAAATGCCATGCACTCTAAGCCTTCTTCCTCCAGCCACTTCCACCCACATTTCATGAGTTCCATCAAGTTGCCATCCTAGTTTCCTTGCCACATTAAAGTCCAAAAAGTCATGAGTGCTCCCACTAATTATTAAAATCTGGAGCTACCTCTTTCCATAGTAACTTGTGAACCTCACCGAAGAAACACTATCCACTCCATCAATGGCATGGAGGGACATAAAAGCCTTATCCCCATTTTCTTCTATCTCAATGGGTTCTTTGTTTTGATCATCTTCTTTAGAATTACTTTGAACTTCAATAAAATATAACTGCAACTTTTTTCTTTGTGGGCATTTGTGGTCTTAGGAGAATTTTTCATGGCAGTAAAAGCACAAGTTTTTGCTTCTATGGTCAACCTCTTCTTCAGCCGAGAGGACTTTAGTAGGAGTTCTGCTTGCTTTTTGATTGAAAAAAGCATTTTTTCTTGATAAAGATGCTGTCTTTTCCTTCGAGTGGGCCCCACTATTTGTTAAAGTATCCCTATTAAAAGCCCACGTGTGTTGGTGTGAAGATGGGGTGGCCAAAGATGTTTGTGCCATACCCCCCGTTCTTTCCTTGAGTCTTCTTCTCAATCTGCCTCTTAATCATCAATTCATGCATCCTGGCAAGTTTTCGAGCCTCTCTCAAGGTATGAGGCTTAAAGAGATGAACTGACCCTTCATATTTATCCCGAAGACCCGATAGGTATATGTCCACCAAATATTCTTCTGGCAGTCGCAACTTACATGAGATCATATTGAACTTATCATTATAGTCAGCCAGAACTCCTCGTTGATTCAGACGACCAAGATCACTCATCGAGGTCTCATGAACAGGTCTGAAACAGTCCTTAATCTCTTCGGTATATTCTTCCCAGGTAGGCCGAACTCCTTCCCACATCTTCTTGTACACTTGATGCCATTAGAAGGCTCGTGGGTCAAGATGCGTACTTGCAATCTTGATCTTGGACTCTTCTGGCATTTCATCAAGCTCAAAGTATCTTTGACACTTCAAGAGCCAGCTAAGAGCGTCTTCCCTAGTAAACCTTGGGAACTCTATTTTCGTAAACTGAGTGGGTCTCCTATATTCTCTTCGTTCATACCCATCTCTATGTCGATGATCCTCATGTTCGTGATGACGATCAATGTTCTGTCCATTTCAAGGATTGCCTTCTCTTTCAACATCTCGATCCCATACCAATAACTGGAGTTGTTGGGAGAGCCCATCAACTAGGTCAATTAAAGCATCAATCTTGCCATTATTTTTCTCAATCTTGACTAAACAGTCTTCCATCTGATGTCTGTCTCGATTGATCTGTCTTCAAGTCTTGACCATATACCGTGATGATTGGAGAGAGAGAGAGAGGCCAAGGAGTGTCCGCTCTGATACCACTGATGCATAGGAATAATTTAGGCTGATAGGAATTAGAGAGGGATAAGGGAAAAGATGAGAGAAGAACAAAAGCTAGGTAGAAGCAGAGAAGAATGAGAGATTAAGGAGAGGAGGTTGAGAGAAATTGAGGAACATAAGGAATTCTATTGATTGATCGCTAAGATAAAACTACAATGCAAATGCCTTTATATATATATATATATATATATAGGCTTCAAGCTCACACTCTCCCAATGGCTACTCATAGCAACTGTCATTTAAATCTAAAACTAACTAACATCTTATAAAACTATAACAAATTGAGATAATTTTTCAAGACCAATTGAAGCTAAAGTTCTTGCACCAAGCCCAAAACCTCACCCACAAATAGAGATGGGAAAGAGACAGCAGGTTGAATCAGCCCACAATCTTAAAGCTGGAATTTTTCCAGCCCAACATGCCATGGGGTGGGGTTGACAGGCCAGCCCACTCTTTATTTCCCTTCTATTCCAGGACTTTCAAATCACAGGCTCACATGAAAGGACTTCAGAGTATACATAAATTTGCTAATTTAATGAGTACACTAAATTCTCATTATATTTGAAAACATAAGATCCTCATTATATTATTTCTTGATTTTTATATATGAACTAAAACCGAGCCAAGTGTCAATTTTTTAACTTGACCTGCCTAATCAAACAAGCTTAATGCTGTGTTTAACTAGTTCATTTAATACATAAGAGCGGAAAAGGTATTATACCAACTAAAACTATGCACAAACAGCTCTAATAGCTATTATATATCAACAACCAAAACCCAAAGGATCCAAACGAAGCTACAAAACACATGAAATTCACCAAATCGTGACAATACACTGCAGGAGTTTCAAGAAACCATCAAATATGCATGCCCATGCAAAGCAATTCAGAAAGTCCTGAATATATCACAAATAAAAAGAGAGCAACGGATTATTTTAGATTTTGATTTTACCAAGCATTTTGAGACATGACCCTTATCAAGATATCATGCAGTTATCGGTTTATCAGATAACTTTTCTACGACACATGCAGTGTGAGACCGCAATAAAAGATTATTCACTCCACAGGAACCAGGCAACTGCAAGTTTAGGCTGTGCGGGACATGTTAGAATCAATCTCATTTCAATAATATAAATTTTGTCAGTATTTTTTCCTTCAAATTCTCCAGCTATAACCCAAAAAAAAAAATTGATATTAGGAAAGAAAAATGAAAACCCATTTCTGTTTATCAAAAGAGAGAAATACAAAATGTAAATTATAACTCAACGCATCAACAAGAATCAGGAAATTTGAAAAACCTTAACAGAAGACGAGATCAACAGAGCAAGAGCCGAGAAAATCAGAACGGGCCAAGAGAGAAACCGAAACAGTGCCTATGAAGGGAGAAGTGACAAGTGACAAGTGACAAGTGAGAAGGAGCAAGGCAGTGTACCGTGAAGAGAAGAGAACTGGAAAAGGGAAGAGAGCGCTGCGTCGACGGCGGGAGACTGAAGGAAGAGAAGGCGTGGGATCTTGCTCAAGGCTTTTCTTCCGCGCCCCCCAAAAACCTTACTCAGGGTTTTTTAAGACCCTGCAAAAACATTAATTATAACTAATAACCATGAATTATTGAAATTAAATTAAAAAAATAAAAAATTGGTCAAAGGACAAGAGTTGCTTTGTTGACCCTTCAGGAACATTTAAAGATTTTTTGCTGCAGTTAAAACTACTTTTGACATAGCCAATTAAATTTTTTTGTCTAACTTAACGTGAAAAAAGAAAAAATAATCATAAAATTTTTTTAAAATAAGTAAATGATAATTTGATCTTTTAAAATGTCATAATTCTCCAAAAATTCCTGGAGACTTTTATATCATTAATAGATTTATATAAATTACTAAATTATCCTTATTAAAAATAAATTATTTACAAATCATAACTTTATTTTTTAAATTCGCAACAATGTAATAACAAATTACAATTTCATATGTTAAATTCTTTATATTTTATTGCATTATTGTAAATATAAGAAGAAAAGTTGTGAATATTTAAATAAAAATTGTGAATCATTCATTTTCAACAAGAGCAATTTGATAATTTATATAAATTCATTAATGATAGAAAAGTCCTTAGAAACTTTTGAGAAATTATAACATTTCAATGGATCAAATTGTTATTTATATATTTCAAAGGGACTTTATTATCATTTTAAAAAAAAAAATGCTCTCTCCTTTTCTTTTCTTCTAAACTCAAAACCCCAATACTTAAATCTATGGTTTAAGTAAAAATCAAAGTTTATACAATTTTTATTGATTAAATTTATTTTAGAATCAAAAACTAACCTTTATTAAACCCCGTACGCATCAATCCAATACCTCAAAATTAGGAATGATCATGAATTTAGGATTTGTTTGTTTAAAATTAAAAAATAAGTGATTATTAGATAGTTTAAAAAATTTATAAAATGAGATTTATTTTATAAAGATTTTATTAAAAAAACATACATTATTTTATATTTAATTGCAATAATAAAAAGTGATTATTAGTTAATTTTTTAGATTTTATAATTTCTTTCTCATTTCTATTTTAAAAAATGATTTATTATTGAATTATTTTAAATTTTTTATTATATTTGCACATATTTCTATTTTTAAAACATTCTCTCTCATATGTTCTAGTCCTAGCGATTAAATTCTCAATGACAGATATGCCCCTAAAGATGTGCCTACAAGTTGCCTACAAATTAGTTTAGATCAAAGAACTAAAATTTCAAGGCCAAATATATATATATATATATACCACGTGCCCCATGCTACTCGGGTCAGAGCGTAAGCCAATGATGCTTTTGGCTACTGGACTCTAGCCATCTAGGGTGCAGCACTCCACCGCTTTGCTTAGCACGACGCTTGTATTGCTCTCCCACAACCCCATTTTCACGGTTTAGGCTGCTCCCATTTCGCTCACCGCTATTACGGGAATCGCTTTTGCTTTATTTTCCAGTGGCTACTAAGATGTTTCAGTTCGCCAGGTTGTCTCTTGCCTGCCTATGGATTCGACGGCAATTCGAAAGGTTGACCTATTCAGGAATCTCCGGATCTACGCTTATTTTCAACTCCCTGAAGCATTTGCTAGTTCGAATTGAAGGGTGATATAGATAGAAAATCAATCTTTTTCCAACATCATATCCATAGTTAGCGCATTCATCATAGTTAGAAGCTATATTATATATATATATATATATATATATCTAATTGCTTTTAAAAGATACTCTAAATAACTTTTGAAAACATAAGCGATTTTTTAATAAAATAAGTTAAAACAAATTGGGCCTTAAGCTCACATCACAAATCTAAGGGTTGAACATGGAATAAAACAAGATAAGAGGGAGGATTCAACCTTATATCGGCCATTCTTGAAGTTGTGACCCCTCAATCATCAATCACTTCCTAAAGTTCCCTAAAATCATGTCACTTCTTTAAAACTAGAGCAGGGCAAATGGGCTCAACCTAACAGGCCATCTTGTTAGCCTACCATTTTTGGTGGTTTGGGCTGGCAAAATAAGCTTGTTTTAGAAAATAGGTTGGGTTGGCCCAAACCATGAAATTATGTAGGCTATTACACGCTACTATAGGCCAACAAATAAGTGACAACACCACAGTCCACATGCATACTAGTCCAGTGAATCAAGACTAGGATGAGAGTCTAATGTAATGTCCACCATGACATCATTAAAACATAACACACAAACACAACATCATTATGATAACAAGGATTAATTAAATTCCTTATATAAGGTTATCACAATACAAGGGCTTAAAAAATAGTTTAAAAGACTAGGATTTCAAGAAAACCCTTTTTGAAAAAATGTTTTGAGCTCAATATATAGTTTAAAACAAGTTATACAAGACAACAGAAGCATAAAAATCAATTATAACCCTTAAAAGCAACAAATAGGGAATCTTGAAAAATTTTCAAAAATGCACCATTTGCTACAGCTCATGTGTCACCCACCATGGTGGATGGCATAGAGAGACTACATCTATCTTTATACAGTGTGTCACAACGCATCCTTACTATCATGACAACATATTGCTATTATGATAGCACTTCGAGACCAATATCTGGAGCTCATCCTTTTGCTATTCAATATTCAATTTGAGTGATTCAAGTGTCCTCACATAGTTCTTTAAGCCTCTACCTAATAACACTGGTTTTACACTCATATATTTTACCATTCAAAAGTTAGACACCAGGACACAATTTTATCCATTTTCCTTTCAAAACACATATAACCATGTCTAAACCTATCAACCTAGTGCCAATAACCTTGGAACTAATTGAACCAACTCAATTGGACCACAATCAACTTGGTTAACAAATCATACGATGACAATTACATTTCACACATATATTTACTGTTGAAAACCCCGAGTTTATATGATTCAAGGGGTGGCACAAAATTCACAAATATCACTCTTAGCCATTCAACTACATATATAACCCAACGACATACACTTGCATTAGTAATCTAACTAAGGTTTTCACTACCCTGGCAAAATAATACTAAGTTACGCTAGTATAGTGATAGTGTGAACCTAGGTCGATCTCTATGAGGAGGCTTAGTTGAAAAAGCAAGAGTAAAGTATGTTACAAGTTAAAAGATAATTTGGATAAATTTGAGTTTAAAACTAAATGAGCTAATGAACCTAATTCTAAGGTGAGTGAAGTGGGTGTGTGAAAACCTATTAAAAGTAGGAACTCTTATATGGGATTGGTCACCTATCCTTGTTTGATTATATCCTAGCTAGTTTAGTTTCTTCTCTCTTCTCTTTGGTTTTAGTGACTTAGTTGTATTAATCAAGACTTAGCCAATACCTTGATCAACCCCAATTCAAGATTATGGTCTTAGAGTGAACCAAAGTAAAGCTAGCATTAAGCATAACCAAAGTGTTACAAACATGAGTCAATTAGGTCAAGCACATATGATAGAATCAACATGCTCAAGATTATGATTAATGAAGATATTCACATGCATTCAAGTTGGCAAGATTATGACAAGCAAGAAAACATGTTAAACTCATCAAGCTAACCAAGATTATGAATTAACTTGAAGAGGCCAAAATCAAGAGCTCAAAGTAACAAAACTCAAGTATCAACAAGTGCAATGTCCATCTTGACATTACCAGGATAACACTTACACATTGTTGTGATAACTAGGATTAAATAAAATCTTTTAAAGAAGTTACCACAACTCAAGGGTTTAAAGATAATTAGTTTAAAACATTGGGATCCCAAGAAAACCTTTTTCTAAAATATTATTTGAGCCCAAACCATGATTAAAAATCAATTAAGAACAAATATGGAAGCATTGAAAACAAACCACATCAAAATTAGGCTAAAAATGCCATTTTCAGTAAATATTAGTTCGTCTGCCATGGCATAAGCCACGCCTACCGTAGCAGATGGCACAGAGAGATAAGTCCCTCGAAGGCCCAATGTGCCGCAATGCAATAACCATAAGCTGCCATGCGCACCTACTGTCATGACAGCAGATTGCTGTCGTGACAACCCTCCAAACTTTCTCAATGCGTCATTTCGCCATTCGACGTCCGATTTGAGCGGTTCAAGTGTCCAACAAAGCTCTTTAAGCCTTCTAGCCAATGGCACAGTTTAACACTCAAATAATCATCCATTTAATATGGACACCCGAACCTAAAATGGTTCGTTTTCACAACAAAACACACACCAAGATGTCCAACTCACAATACCAAATGCCATTAGCCTCTAAAGACACCTTAACCACCTCAAATGGACCACACACCACATAACAATTCAATCATTACACACAATTAAGCAATCACACTCAAAATGACTGCTAAATCCCTATTTGACAATAATATAACGGGGCGAATAAAATTCAATATAGAAATCAATTGGTCATTTTGACACTCAAAACACTTGAAATATATATCACATGTAAGTGTAACTTGGCCAAGCACACATACTTAATCCACAATGTCAATCTTAGTCCAAGATACACACACTTATCACAAATTCATACAAATGATATTCAAAATAATGTCATGTTCCTAAGTTGGCAATATACAGTGGCAATATTCGTTACAAAACCAAAAAGAGAAAAGGAAGAGCTATATTACAACACTCTTTACTCTTCAATTGTCCCTTCTTTCCCTTTGCCCCGACCGAAGTCCTTACCTATAAAATATAACCACAGGATGAGATAAACATCATCTCAGTAACAAAATAATTCACTACTAATAATTAACATACACAATAATAAGAGAGTAAAACTATGAAACTTTCAAAATATACATTTAGCATATCACCACATACTCTTTTCATTAGTATATATCTTTTACCATTAACATGATCATTCTACCATCTGAGCCTCCATATCACCTCGACCGAAACTATAGGCTCTTGGACCAAGTACACATTCACAATGATCCGAGCTCACCTTCAGTAGTAGGATCACCCGGCCAAAGGTGTCCTATCCTACTTTTGGACAACAGTTTCCCCCTATCGCACACGAATCGGGGTG